TCAAAACAGACTTGACGGCACCTAATGACACCAAAGCAAAAGAGATGACCTTGGATAGTGCTATATGTGGTATACACATATATTGTGTTTTATGAAAAGAAATCTTGACACTTAGAAGGCAATAATATATTACTGTTGATGAGATGAACAAATAAATGACAATGGCTGATACTCAAATCACATTTCCACACAAATTCTTTCCTTATTGACATTCTTAGCTTTTCTAGAGACTTCATTACCCCTCCATGCAAAATGTTAGGCTTTGATAGAACATAATTTTTATATCTCCTACCAATAGTAGTGATCACTGATGAAACAAAATGTATGAAATCTGCACATTGTGAAATGCAAGTTCCAATTAATGTATTTAATTTCTATTATTGGAAAAATGTCATGCTTTGAATACGGAATTTCAAACCTTTCTTTTTTCTTTTTTCTTATTCAACAACATTCCACAAAATGCTTTAATTGTAAAATACTGATTTTTTAGAAGCCATTATTTCATTCCTTACTTTATGTCTGTCTTTATGCTTTTGAGCTTCCTTTATTCTTCCTCATCCTTTGTCTTCTTACACTTTCCAATCTAGGAATAATTTTTTCATATGTTTTACCCATGATTTGTCTCAAAAATATTATCATCAATAATATTTGAAGTTTTCTTATATTCTATTCCTGGCTTCATGGTTCTTGTTCATATTGCTATCAGAAGTCTAAATTAATGGAATTAATCATTTTTCAAACATTAAGGTTATTTTAAAAATGAATATTTTGGAAACAATAGACACAATTCTCTGGTGATTGGTATTGATGTTAACAATCTCTTTTCTGAAGGATGAAAATTTTAAATAGATTTTTTAAAAGTTAGTAGGAAGTATATATATTAAAAAAAAAAAAAAAAAACCCACAAACTCACTGCCATCAAGTTGATTCGACTTGGGTTATATGTGTGTTTATAATGCTTGGTTTAACTTTGTAAGATAAGAGATCATTTTTTTCCCCTATTTATGCTCCTCATATATTATTTTTACTTGTCTTTAAGCCATAAATAGATTTTAACCAGGTTTCTCTTTGCTATGTCTACTTTTTAAAAAACTATGGTTTATATTAGAGATTGTAGTTCAGATTACCATACTTTTCATTTTTCTATAATCTATCCTTCTGTATCATCATAAGTACATTGGAAATGTTTTATTCCAAAATTATAAACGAAAAATTAGATTTCAGAATATTTAAAGTAACTTTCCCAACATACTACACCTGGTAAGTAGCAGAGCCTGGACTCAAATACAGTTTGGCTCATTTTAAAACCTTTTAATCTTTCATGAAATATACTTTAAGACACTCTTGATATCTAAACTCTCTTGCACAATACTTTGAATACATAAGGTTATTATACATTTGAATAGTCAGAAAGAAAATAAACTTTACTTACTCTAGCTTCTTCTCTTTCTTCTAAGTTTTCTATAAAATTATTTGCCATTAATATCCCATGTTAAATTTTAGTTTGATGTTTATCTTCATTATCCATACTTATTTGGCTCTTTCTCTTCCTTCAGCACTAATTAAGAACAGCTTTGAAGAATAAATATCAGGAGATCTACTTAGAGTCACTAAGAATAAAGACCATAAAAAACATTATAATTTATAAATCTAGAGCCTTTAGTTTAGAAATGTAGAATTAAAACTCCTTAAAAGGTTTGTAAGGAGCTCTGGTGGTGTAATGGGTAAGGCATTTGGCTGCTCACCAGAAATTCATTCAAACTCATCAGCTGCTCCACAGGAGGAAGATGAAACAATCTACTTCTGTAAAAATTTACAGTCTTGGAAACCCAATGGGTGTTGCTATGAGTCAGAATAAACTTGATTGCATTGTGTTTGGTTTGGTTTCTGGTGAGAGATATGTGAATTTCTACAGATACAGTTCTGAAAACTAGGAATTGACCTCCCAAGCCACAAGTGGCCATTTCTTCTGCATTTAGTATTGTCTATGCATTTTTACTTGACTTTTAGCTCTGATGTGCAGTGGTTAAAACTCATGGCTGCTAACCAAAAGTCTGGTGGTTCAAATCAACCTACTGCTCCATGGGAAAAAGATGAGTCAGTCTGCTTCTATAAAGATTTACAGTCTTAGAAACTCTATGGGGTAGTTCTGCTTATCCTATAGAGTCACTATGAATCTGAAAAGACTTGATGACATAGGGTTTGGTGTTTTGGTATGTTATTTATAGAGCTCTGGTGGTCTAGTAATTAAGGGCTGAATGCTAAGAAAAAAGTCAGTGGTTGGAATCCATGAGCCACTCCATAGAAGAAAAATGTGGCAATCCACTGTTCTAAAGATTACAGGCTTGGAACTCCTATGAGGCAGTTCTACTCTGTCCCATAGGGTTGCTACGAGTTGTGGTCAACTTGACAGCATTGGTTTTAGTTTTAGTTTTATATCGCTTGTCCATTTTTAAATTTATTTCCTGCATATTTTTACTTTATCACCCCACAAATTGCAAGCTAGCTGAAATTAAGCATTAACTGCATCAAAACAAATTGGTATATTTTTTAAAGTTCTCATTGGATATTTAAAAATATAAACAAGAGATTGGCTACTTGTAAAAAAGAAATCACAAGTGGTGTAGCTAAATGATATATATTTGTAGTTCTAGAATAATGCTATTACAATCAATGCATACTTTTTATGATGAGTCCATATTTCTAGAGAGACTACCATAGGAAAAGAAACTATTAACTAGCCATTCAAAAATTATAAATCACATTCTTAGTTAATCTTTGAAATATACAGTACTTTGTTTCATACTCACAATAGTACAGGGAAATTGATTTAGTATTATGGTCAATGATGCAATGCCTCAATTAAGGCTTTCTATGCTAATATCAAGTAGCCCTGGCAGCACAATACTGCAGGGCTGTTAAGTGAAAGGCCAGCAATCTGAACTCAGTAG